AAACTTTTTAGGCACATAAAATAAGTCGGGAGTTGTAGTATGATGAATTTTTCTTTCTTTAAGTTCTTTCAGTCATTAAAGTACGATTTTCAATGTCATTGATTGTTGACAAGTAATAGGATAGAAATCTATTGTGTTTGGCTTCCCTTTTGTAATATGTAGGTGACTATACTTATAGCCAAACTATAATTGTGACTATACTAAGTATATTTACCTTTTCACCCTTAAAAGAAAGGCTTAAATTGACATAACCTTTTTCTTTATGTGTCAAAGTAGAATGCCGAATTTGTGTCAAAGGGTACAAAGATATAGTTATTGCAAAAAAGAGTGTCTGGGCACAGTATATTTCTTTTTTGTTATTGATTGAAGGCTCTCATTCATAGTGACATTTAATCCTGCATTATTAATAAAGCAGTATAGGCTTCATCCAGATGGTAAAGGGTGTTCATCTATCACTAAGGGCTTGGAGTCTTTTTATGTTCCTCAAGATTAGCTTCAACGGTAGTGACAAGTAAGCTACAATTGAGGCTGTGTAAAGTGTTATATTAATTGATTTGGGAGTGGTTACCACTATTGAGCCAAAGCCATACCTTGAAGTGAGATGGAGGATACCTCTGTGTAAGAGCTCTATATTCTGGTCAAAACTATACTATAGGGGCAGAACTTACACATTGGTTTTCCAGCCAACTAAAAATTATCTCTAAAGCAAGGAATAACTCATAAGGTAGCTAATGCCTTACTATTGTACTGCTATGTTTTTGTACTATAACATAGCAAGTAATGATGTCTAGAGCTGTGTAGAATGAGGTATGCAGTTAGTACCAATAGCTCAAAATAATATCAGGATAAAAGAGAGTGTGTGTTTGGGAACATTGTTATATTTAAAGTTTAAGCTTATTGAGTAAACTATTAGTGATTGGCACCACCCATTTTGTGGCACTTGTTTTATCTATGTAAACTATACTTTGCCATCTCATGAAACTGCAAAGTATGATGGCAATAGTTGCCCTTTATTTTGCATTATATAGTCTACCCAAGGCCCTTATCTCTGACCTTCATAAATGCTCTCTGTTTTATTTCTGTCTTTGTTTTTCTTGTTCATGTCTTATTCTTATTTGAAAGCTAGTAGTGATAAACTAAATGACTGTAATGTTAATTTGTACAACCACAACTCAATGTCTGAGGTTTTCCTAAAGTGTGTGCAATTATAATTTATTTGCCATACACATGTACATGTATGTAATATTTGTTGTGATTAATTGTGTAGCCAACATTGTTTGTAGTGTATACTTGTGAAACAATGCACGTTTTATACAGTCACCTGTTCTGTTGATTAACTGCTGACTGACATACATGTACATGTTGGGCCTCTATTCTGTGGTTAGAGGTACCCAATTTAATAATTTGTACTTTTGACAAAGAATGCTGTACCTAAATTTGTAAGTACATGTATGTGTACCGTAGGGTACAGGGCTGTAAATTTCACGAATTGGCCTAAAGATATATTTTGCAGATTTAATTATTGTGAATTTAAACCATCTCTTATCATCTTGTACCGTAATAATTTGACTTTTGCCAAAATTGTTTTTGTGAATCTTTAAACAGTCTCGAAATCTGCCACATTTACAGCCCTCAAAAAATGGCGCCCTGCGCCTGTGGTATATTAACTTTCTTTTGTTGCACATTTCATACTATGTTTGGTTTACGTTATACTTTCTACTTCTTGTAGCATGAAAATTTTTCTGTAAATGCTTCATAATTTTTAGTCTAATGTTGGATTTTTTACCGTTATTGTAGGGTCATGCGTTAATTTTGTTTTTTTAAAGTATGGAATTAATTTTTGTGCAGGTCCACTACATTTGTGAACATCAATTAAATATTTAAAAAATGAAGTCATGAATGTTAATTTCAAAGAAAATTTAAACATTATAAATTTGGGGCCATGATAAACCATGCAGCTTTACTGTACATGTATGTACTAATGATTGTTTTACACCTGTAGGTAAGAGACTGTATATATCTTAATATATCACCAATTGATGGCACCTCACTGAAATGCCTCGTCCACTCAATGGGTATTAATAATCGTTATATTGGGAAGATTGCAATGCTAGCCAAGTCAAGGGAAGATCTGTACCACTTACATGTAAGTCAACTAATTCCTGACATGCAATGGTACTTGTACTAGCAGTTTTGTGGGTTTAGCAGTTTTGCCGAAATATAATTTTGGCAATTTTTTGGCGATTCATTAGTTACTTGTACATGTAGTAGTAGCTAATTTGGTACAGTACGTCCTCGATTATCCCAACACCTTTGTGCACCTCTATTGGGAGAGATGTTCAGATAGCTAAATAGAAGATATACATGCTAAGTGTATTCATTGCAAAATAAATGTATTCATTGCAAAATAAATGTATTCATTGCATGCCGTAATAACTTTTAAGAAAGAAATTAGTTCGTTGGACGTCATCTTTTCATTGGCAGCAATGGAGAAAAGATAGAAAAAGGCTTGGTACCAGGAAACCGCTCTTTATTTCTTGATAGCAATCTTTCAGGTGACTAATAGACCCATTAGAGCCTCAGTATGCTTTCTAAGCTTCCAAAAAAGGCCTCAAGAATGTAGCAAGGCAAGAAAATGATTTTTCCCCCATTGAACTCTTAATAAACTTGATTTCCAACATGGCGGCCAATTTACTGTGTGGGTTGGATATACGGTACTTAAAAGTTATGAATATACCTAGCACGCATATCCTGTATAGTCTGGATAAGTGAAATACAGCACAGAATACAGTAGGCCGACCTATCCTATACTTTTCTGAAAATTAAATGAGTATGACTTTCCTTTCTCTAACTCCCAGAGCATCTCAGGCTTCTCTTTAATGGTACCGTATACTGGGATATTTTCTCTTTGCTAAATTTTCATGAATTTTGTATTTGTAAGATTTCATGAAATAATATTTTTG